TCTTCTTCTCCTCTTCTCTGCTACTTCGACTACAGTGGTTCAGCTTTCACTATAATTAAAATTACAAACCAATCATTTATGTATGGATTAAGAATTTAAGACCCTGGCATGGATTTGTTTGGGCTTGCCTCATTGGGTTACAGAGTGGCTCAGAGAATTAGGGAATGCGGTTAGGAAAGAAATAGAGATTGAAAGTTTCATGTCCTTGAATTGTTGAGTGCTTGAATATGTTTTATATGCCATGTTTGATTTTATTTTTACATTTTCACTTTGAATTGTTGAGTGCTGGATATGTTTTATATGCTGTGTTTGATTTTATTTTTTGTTTTACATTTTTACTTTGATTTTAATTGAGATAATAGGATTTTTAAAATATTTAGTTCAAAACTTAAGTAAATATATATTTTTTTGTATTTATAGTTTTTGCATTTTTTTGAAGATTTTAAAATATTTGCACCTCATTTCAAATGCACGTGAATCTTGCCTTCGGCACAAAAAAATCCCTCTGCGCTTTTTTGGCACCTTGCGCTTTTAAAACTTCATTAACTCTTTATTTCCATAGTTGATTGAACATTTGAACCTTGGGTCTACACTAAGTCAAGAATCATTTACAAAACTATTCTAAGTTCCTCCATGCCAGAATGCATGGTCATTTAGTATTGCTATCGTTGTTAAGTTTTACAATTTAAACAGTGAGTTGGATTGTGAGGAAAGTATTTTCAAGTAATCTTTTGAAAAATATCTTGTGCATCATTCTGTTATGGAAAGTTTTTCATCCCACTACATGACCTTTGGTTCAATTCTCATGGTGCAGGACTTTATGTCTTAGCTTCTGAACCTGTGCAAATGCCATGGTTTGACTTTATTTTTGCTGATATTGGTGATGAACAGTCCTTGTCCCAATCTTTGTCTACATTCTCTGGCCACTTGAAACAGATCAGTGTAAGTTGTTTTTTTTCTATTATTTATTTTGAATGCCTTGTCATGAATGCTTCCTTACATCATTACATTATTGCAACAAATAATGAGTTGCCTCCTACATTACAGAAAGATGTATAGGAGCCTAAGAGAATTCATATTTGATGATAGGACCCAGTCAAGGTCCAAATTTTCAATACGATATGCCCCGTATCGGGCGTATCACATTGTATCGTATCAGTGGCTATCTAATACTTGAAACACAGGGCAAATGGCTTTTTGACCCATTTCAGGGAGTAGGAAGGCCTAAGACTTACCCCCTCACCTATTTAAAAAAAACCTTAAAAAAGCCCCAAGTTAGGTATAAAGTACCGATACACCCCTTCTGGTGTATCAGGGTGTATCAATACTTTGAACCTTGGACCCAGTAGCCCATAATGACCTATCAAATGGAGAAGACTTTTCTTGCAGTTTGACATGAGATTGGTTCGTATAACATTGTGACTATTTCATGTTATTTTGTTTGTATTTTTAACACCATGAATATTTTTATAATTTTCTCCTCATTTCTGTGGATCCAACCATTAAGTTTTGTTTAGGTCATCATTTATGTTCCTTCATGTTTATTTGGTGCTATTATGATGAAAAACAAAAATAATGTGGCATCCCAAATGCTCAGATGGGCTGTCAATTTGAAGCCTGAGATGAGATTGATTTTTAGACCTGTTCTTAGTAAGAAACAAAAGGGTGACACAAAATCATTTGGACTCATGTGGTAATCCAAAAGATCTAATGGTTTAATAGTACAACTAGAAGATATTAGATTTGTTAAAATTGTGGAACATGTTACATAGAAGGGCATATGGGATGGGACATGAATAATTCCCTTATTGTAGAAGAATGTCAACCATCTGCAATTTTGATTTTTTACACCTAGATTAAACTATGTGGAGAAAATGGAGGAATTGCTTCTCATGTGATCTGATGCTCTTGCATCAATGATTCAAAGAATGGACTGGCAAGAGGTTGCATGATGAACAAGGTAGATAGCTGACTGACCAAATATAAGAGATAAAAATATCAGCGCTCCCTTATGATGTTTCTCTAGCACAAGGAAACAACCACTCTAGAACTGGAGGATGAAGAAGGTAAAATGGAAACTGTGGTCTGCCATTGGGAATAGAGAGAAGACAAAACAGGAAGAAAGAAAGGAAGACATGTATTATGAAAGAGAAGACTGGTGAGTGTGGCAGTACTCCACTCGAATCTTTTATTTAGTGTTATTACAAGAGACAAAATTATAGATTATGCTCCTAGGCCCCAATAACTAAAGAATTACAACAGTTCTTTGTGGCACAAATTTGTTACTCTTTGTAAAGACATCAGCCGCTTTCTTCTTGGAGCCAACAGAAGGCAGACATATCTCACCCTTATCCCCTTTCTCACATGATTCTCATGTAGTACTTAATCTAGAACAACTCTTTCTTTCTTATTCCATGTCACTAGTTTTCCTTCATCAAATTACAATAACCTGTAGTTGATCTATGATAATCGATAGATCCAACCCAATTTGTACTAGCATAGACCTCCACTTTGACATGCCATGCTTAGATTAAAGGATCCTTTTTCTAAGGCGATTCTTCAAATATTTTAAGACATATTCCTTTGCCTGGAGGTGTGATGTCCTAGTAGAATTTATATATTGACAGACTCCAACAACATAACGCAATATATGGTCATGTCATGGAAAAATATAGTAGTCTCCCCAGAAGTTTCTTAAACTACATGTCATCTTGATTTACCTCCCCAGTCTTTTTAAAGTGTTGTTCGGTTGCATTTAACTCTGACCTATGAAAAACAAATCACCTCTAACAAAAGTTTTGTGAAAAGTTGGGATTCTTTTTAACTTTTTATTACATGCAAAGAATGTTCTGAAATTTGAGTGTTGAGTTCTGAGAAATGACAATTGGCAGTTTTTCCCTGGTAGTACAACGAATGGTAATAATTGAAAAACAATTAAACTGTTAATAAATAGAAAATACTAATTCATTAATAGTTAGTGATAATAAATAATAATAATAATAATAATAAAGATTAATAGTAGTAATTAATAATAATAATAATAAACAATAGTAATTTAGAATTCATAATAAACAAAAGATAATAATAAAAATACTAATTAATTGTTTTTTTATGAATGAATGGTATTTTATTAAATAGAGATGGAAATAGTACAAGCATGAAGCACCCTAAGAGGAGGCACGAGGTGTTACCTCCCCTTAAAGGTGGTTCCAAACCCAACTCTTTTCATATTACAGTTACAAAATAGCCAAAAACAGAGAATCCCTTGAAGTCCCTTGTTTAGCTAAAGAATCTGCCAAAGCATTTGCCTATCTACTAACCCACTGAAAGCTAACTGACACGGTTCTCTTAAGCCATTTGACTTTTTTGATGATGTTCCTATATCCCCAAACAACAGTTTCTGGGTCTGACATCCATCCCACTTTCACCTTAGAGTCTCCTTCAACTATCAAATTAGTCACTCCAAGTTGGTTGGAAATCTGTAGTCCTTATACCACAGCTAATATCTCAGCCCTTGTAGAGTCTCCATAACCCATTGGACCTGAGAATAAGGACAGAATGTTGCCTTCCTTATTCCTCAAGATCCCTCCTATACCCGAAGGTCCTGGATTGCCTTGACTGTTCCCATCAAAGTTCAACTTTACAACTCCTTCTAGAGGGGGTAACCAACTTGCTTGTGTTCTATTTTTCTTGGATGAGGTGGAGGTTACTGCCGCCCAACTCCTTCGAAGGTCATCACTAGAGTAATCCGCAAAGAGATCAGTAGTTTTTGCCAAAGGATTGCCCTTGTTAGTATACAATCCTTTAATTAGTAAATAATAGTAATATATAATTAATAGTTAATTACTAATAATTAATACATAATTAATAATCATAACCATTAATTAATAAATCATATAACAATAATTAGGAACAATTAATGGTAATTAGTAATAAGAAATAATTGTAATTAATAATTAAGAAAAAATAAAAAATAATACAACATAATTTAAAATGTTTAATAATTAATAACAAATACTAATTATTTTAAAATAAGTAATAAATAGATATTAATAATTTAATTAACTTATTAGTTAATTAATTGATTAATTAGATAATTAATTATTTAATATGTATATGGTTGAAATGAAATGACAAACTCTACTTTTTATGGAAATAGTTTGTGAAAAGTGATGTGTAGTACAATTTGCAAATTTAGGAAACAACCAAGGGATAAAAATGTCATTGGGTCACATTTGAAAAGATATTAAAAAGGATGTTTTGTGAAACAAGGCTTTGAATAGGGGGAGATACCGAATGTCCTGAACTTTGTGAACTTTTTTGCTTTTCAAAGTTCAATGCTTTTTCAGCACAAATGAATGAGCCCTAAGTCTATGATTAAGATCCATTGGTGCATTTTAGACCCAAGCTTCTTTTTATCCTGAAATCCTACAAAAGGTCTAGGACATACTTCCTCTAGGAAATGAAAATGCCTTTCTGTGATCTCTACCTCCTAGTATTTTATTACTATTGTCCATATACAGTCTTAAGGCTACAATCTAATCTTGTTCCTTATCAAGTAAACTAGGTTTGAACTTATTAGGGGATCTTATGTCACCAGGAAGGCCTTCTCCTACCATTCCCTACTAAGCATATTGGGTCTCACAACTTCATACTCTGGTCTAAGATGCATTAACAAGTGCACTATCTTTTGCCTATCAAAATGCTATTTCATGAACTTCATACAACAATCTATAGGGTTCTCACCCAAATGCACCAACTCATATTTTGTCCGTAGATTAACAAACTTTGCATAATACTCCTGAATCTTCTTCTCCCCTTGACAATAGGAGAATATATAATCCTCAATCTAATACCATCTAGAAATATTCAACTCTTGATAAACCTTCTCAATATACTGAAACATTTCATATGCAGTTCGATACCCATGCATGGGAATAGCAATACCCACCTCAATCGACCCAATAATCCAAGATGCAATCTTAGGTCTTGGCATTATCTACTTTTCACTGTTGTAAAGCCTTTGTATTTGATTCATTAAACTTAGAAACTGATCCATAAATAACCCCCAAGTCCTTTGCCTTCAACATGAAATTGGAAGCGAAACTTACATAAGGCATAGTTAGTTTCATCAAACTTGATGAAGAGAAAGTCGGTCTTCTCCAATGACAATGTAGCAGGAAATTAATCAACCAAAAGAGCTATAACAGCAGTGAATACCAATACATGTTACTCCACAATTATTCATGAGATCCACAACAAAATATGAACCAGCACTTGAGAGAGGATTCTCAACCGTCCAAACAGAAAAAAAGATTACCTCCTGAAATAACTTGTAGGAGCAGGTACAATAGACCCTAAACCTCTTTTGAAAAGCAACCTGAATATCCAATGGTAAAGAACACAACTAATGAAGCAAAAAAAAATCCACAACCTGTCCAAATATGGAAACTGTAATAGGATGCCTCTCAAGAAAGAGATGAAAATTCTTCTCAGATCTGATCCAAACCAGCAGCAAACCAAAGTGGTATGAAGATGATGATGAAAAGAACAGGTCTTGAGATAAGGTCCCTCTAACATATCTAATAATATGGTGCAGTGTTGATAAGTGCGGCTGTCTTGGAGAAGACAAACTGGCTTACAACTTCCATTGCATATGAGATATCAGGGCTGGTCATAGTGAGGTAAATTAAGCTGCCCACTAATTGATGGTAGAGAGTAGTGTCTTCTAAGAGAGGACCACCATCCTTATGAAGCTTGAAATTAATATCTAAGGGAGTGTAAACTAGATTAAAATTAGCGAGATGAACCAACTTAATGAGATTTGCTATAAGTCACTTGAATCAAGTCCTTTATCTTAAAGGATTTACTCAAAAGTTGCTTCAAACTAATAATCCTCTCTTGATCATACCTGGTAATGATAATATCATCAACATACAGTAAAATTTGAGTCAATTCGATGCAAGGAAAAAAAGAGAGTGATCTAAGGAACTCTGTATAAAACCAGCATTGGTAATAACTGAGCGGAATCTCTCAAACCAAGGCATAGGAGCCTATTTAAGACTATATAAGGATTTCTTGAGATGACAAACAAGTTGGGGATTACCACAGTACCTAGGACAAGGTTTCATATAACAGTTTGACATCCATTGATCCCCCATTGTTTAACTACAAAAATAACAAAAATTAAATGAATAGTAGTCATCTTTGCTACTGGAACAAAATTTTCTCATGGTCCATCCCAAACTCCTATTTATAGGCTTGAACAACAATATGAGACTTATAACTATCAAGGATCTCATTTGATTCCAACTTCATGGAATAAACCCATTTTCTACAAATGATAGATTCATTAGGAGGAGGAACAAGCTCCTAGGTACCATTTTCCATAACAGCCTGAAGTTGTGTCCATGGCATCTTTCCAATGAAGGATGGTGGCAGCTTGTTAGTAAGACTTAGGAATATTTGTAGAAGACAATACAACAAAAAAGGACCTAGTTTGAAGGAAAACTGTAGAGGTCAAGAGGTCAAGAAACTGTAGAGGAATGATGCAAGGTAGGAGGATAAGACCCCAATCCAAGCCCAACCAGAGTTGGGGTCAAGCCCCAGCCCAAGATCAAAGCCAAAATTTCTAAATCCAACTCATGCGAAAGCTCAGGTTAATCTGGGGGCTGGGCTCACTCAAAGCCTGCTCATGTGCACCTCTTAAAGTATTAGATAGGATTGCCATGCGTAGATGTAGAGACTAGATAATGATGTCAGATTGAAAAGGAATATTATCAAATGAAGAAATTATTGCTTTCTTGCTTGCGTACTAGATTTGTAAGTTGGAACCTTTGTGCTTGACAAGTGCACCTATTTTTATTTTTTATAGTGCATGCTTTATATGATCTGTACAATATTTTGCAGGCAATTCTGTCACAATCAACAAGCAAGTCATTGGTGCTATTAGATGAAGTAAGTACTGTTATGATTCAATATTTGTGATTGCTTCATTATAGTAGGAATATTGTTAATGGTCACATGACTGTTCAGTTGCTTGCCTCAGACAACTATACCATCGTGTTGTTAATATTTTAAAATGACAGATAAGCAGTTGAGACACAATCCTCATCAGAATGAAAAAATGATCAATATATGGGAAAAAGTTTCCTGATTAGTTCAACAAGGTTTCTTGTCTAAGGCAGCATTTGGTGGTGATCTGGAAGCACCTTTCTTGTCTAAGGCAGCATTTGGTTCTGTTTCCTTATGAACAAAGTATGATCTGCACCACTTTGAGTGTATCCCACTCTTTTCATGGCTCCACAGAGCTTCTCAAACAAGCTCAAGGGGACTGCTTAAGACCATATAATGCTTTCCTCAGTCTACACACTTTCCCATCAAAACCATAACCTAGTGGAGGATCCATCAATACCTCTTCATGTAGATCGCGATTTAGGAAAGTGTTCTTCACATCCAACTGATGTAGCTCCCATGAGAAGTTTGTAGCTAATGACAATAGAACCTAGATTGTGTTGAGCTTTGCAACTGGAGCAAAGGTCTCTTTGTAGTCAATCCCTTCCTTTTGAGTAAACCCCTTTGCCACTAGTCTGGCCTTGTATCTTTCAATGGACCCGTCCTCCCTATGCTTTATAGTGAACACCCACTTGCATCCCATAGTGCTCTTCCCTTCTGGTAGATCCACTAATTCCCAAGTCCTGGCTTTCATTAAGGCTTTATTTTCTTCATTCATGGCCTCTCTCCATCTTGGATCAGACACTGCCTCTGAGTACCTAATAGGGACATGCACGGAAGAGAGAGCAGACACAAAGGAATAATGAGGAGATAAATTTGAGTAAGAAACATATTCAACAATGGGGTGTCGGATACTACAAGAACGGGTAGGTTTACGAAGAGCAATAGGGAGATCCATATTAGAAGTATGAGTGATAAGATTACCTGGAGTTGTTGAGACAGATGATTCGAGTCCTATTGGTTGCTGCCATGAGTTGGAGGGTCTTTTTTCCTTCTGTTGTAGGTGATTTTCATATCTTTTTGTTGCCACTAGTGTCCTCAATTACATATGCAACATCAAAAGTGGTAACATGTTCAATGGGAGCCTCACTAGATTCACCTGGGATGCTACAACTAGGAGGATTAGGAGGAGAAGATAGAATGCCCGAAGCTGAAAGAGGCATAAAAAAAGAGGGAGAAGAAGAATCTTCTTCCATCCCACTAGTCTACCCCTGAAGAGGATTCTGGGAAGAATGAAAATAGGATTGAGACTCAAAAAATACCACATCYTTTGTGAYRTATTTCTTYTTRGTAACGGGATCATAACACTTGTAACCCTTCTGTGTAGGAGAGTATAGAAAGATTCCTTTCGTAGCCCTAGGATCCAACTTGGTCTTCTTTGGATCCTTTACATGAATAAAACATACACAACCAAAAACTCTAGGTGGAAGAGAAAAGTCTGGAAGATTAAGGTAAAGGACAAAGAAAGGAGTTTTCATACCCAACACCTTAGATGACATCCGATTTATCAGATATGATGCGGTAAGGACTGCTTGAGACCAATAGCGCTTGGGAACCTTGTGCTGAAATAGTAAAGCTCGAGCTGTCTCCAATAAGTGTCTATTTTTGCGCTCAGCAACCCCATTCTGTTGAGGGGTACTAGCACAAGATGACTGGTGTAGCATGCCAGCATCCTCCATGAACAGGTTCAAGGAACTTTCAAAATATTCAGCAGCATTGTCTAAACGGAATTGCTTAATCTTCTTCTCGAATTGAGTTTCATTCATTTTACAAAATGTCATGGTTATCTGTGGTACTTCATCACGCCCTTTTAACAAGTAGATCCATGTGCATCGTGAATAGTGATCAATAAAACTGATAAAGTAACGAAAACCATCTACAAAAGCAAGAGGTGAAGGGTCCCAAACATCAGAATAGACCAAATCAAAAGGAGCTTGAATTTCATTACTAGAAATTGGATAAAGTGTTCTATATTGTTTTGACAACTGACACACTTCACAAACTAAACTAACTTGAAATACCCTTGAATAATTCAAGGAAACAACCGTTGAAATGATGAAAAAGGTAAATGACCTAGCCTAGCATGCCACAAGTGTAACCTAGCTATTGACTCCTCATTATTCTGATTATTGGCAGTAGATGATTGTAGGGCCGAACTGATGTCTGCATCAAAATAGTAGAGACCTTCACACTCATGACCGCTCTCAATCGTTCTCTTCGTCAGTCTGTCTTGAAAGACACAATGAGTAGGAAAGAAAGTTATGCTACAGTTTAAATTCTTGGTAAGCTTCGAAACAGATAAGATATTGGAAGTAAGATTGGGAACATGTAGAACAAATTTAAGAGAAAGGTCCTTGCTTAGGTCAACCCCCCCTTTCCCAGAGATGGTGGAGAGAGAACCATCAACAACTCTCATCTTATCTTGGCTAGACATCAAATGATAAGAAGAAAATAAAGAGGACATGTGTGTCATGTGGTCAGTTGCACCAGAATCAATAATCGAAGAAGTAGACTCTATAGAACTAGTTGCACTGTAAGCAGAGACAATACCTGATTTGGCAAGAGAGGTGGAAGCAAGGGAATTAGTCCTTAGACGGGTTAAGACTCGGCTAAGGACCTCTACCTCATCTGCAGTTAAATCCAAGGACTCGGATGTGTGGGAATTAGCAGTCTGTCCCATTGGAGGAAGTGTAACTGTAGATGTGTTCTTTGGGCTCTCACCACTGTGACTAGTAACAAGGTTTCCACTTGTTTGATTCCTCTGAGGCTTCTTGTCTTTCCTTAACGCAGATGGTTTCAGATGAGGATAAAGAACCCAACAAGTCTCTTTACATGCCTTTCACCTCCACAACACTTAAGATGCCTCTTGTCTGACTGCTTGCTCCCTTTTTGGTTTGAAAAAATCAAGGCTGAATTTTCAACAAGCTGTATTTGAGTGTCAACTTGCATCTCTTTCCTCCTAACCTCTTCACTCTTTACTAGATAGTAGACATGGTGTAAATCTGACATTTCATCCCTTCCCAAAATTTGAGACCTTATGCTCTCATACATTGGGTCTAAGCCAGCCAAGAACTTAAAGGCTCTACCTTCTTCAATTTGTTTATCATGCCTCTCCTTGTCTCTTATATTCTCCCAACCAAGAATAAGATGATGATCAAGTCTTCCCATAGCCCTTCTAGGGTTGCAAAATAAATTGCAACTGTCATATCTCCTTGTCTCAATGCAACAATGTCTTGGTTTAGCCTATAGATTCTTGCATTGTTCTTTCTCTATCCATAAGTTTTAGACACTTTCTCCCAAATCTTAGCAGCAGTGGGAAAGTGTTGAACAGTCCTGGCTACTCTTGGAGTCATCAAAGCAAGCAGTCAGGACATAACAGTAGCATTTTCCTTACGCCATATTGCGTACTCCACACCACCCACTTCAATCCATCTAAATAACCCGTAAGTTCCCGGGAAGTAATGAAGAGCTTGGCTGAAACAGACCATTCTTTAAAGTTATACTCATCCAACAATACACTGGTGATTTGCAAGCTGTGCAGATTTGGGTTTTCCAGATTAGAAGACCTCCCACCAGTTCTATTATCCCTAGAAGACACTTCTCCTGATATTGAAGAAATCTCCTTCCTCTTACAGTGATCACAAATGAAATCTCAGTACAGAGAACACGATTTCAGACTTACCGAAGCTGTTACAAGTCTGAGAACCCCCCGTAACAGGTCTGAAACCAAGAACAATCCACCGCTGTACTGTACTGAACACTTCTGGACCGGGCTTTGACTTCTGTTGTTGTAGCTGTAGCCGAGGGCAACACCTCTTTGGCACCTCCGGTGGTCGAACCTAGACTGTGACCACCCTTACGATCTGTACTAGGACTGTCTAATTCAGTCCTTCCACCTAGATTTGTTCCACACAGATCTCTCTTAGCATTCAAATGGCTACTACCTGTTGCAGGGTTTCTAGTAGGGCATCAACTTCTGGAACAAACTCCCCTTGGGCCCTACAACCAAGGGAAACTCTAGATACCGACCTTGTTGTGTTCTACGATCAGTGCTAGGGTTTGTTCACAGTGGCCAAGATAGGAGAGAGAAAAAAAGAAGGAATAGAGAAGTGGAGAAAAGAGGCGGTGGTGACCAATCAGACCGATTAGTGCTCTGATACCATGTTTGTTGGAGAACAGCAGTTGAAGAAGAAGAAGAAGAAGAAGAAGAAGAAGAAGAAGAAGAAGAAGAAGAAGAAGGAGATCTGAGAATGGAGGCAATAACACTTCAACCGGCCCTATAATCTTATATAGATGTTTACAAAGTAATGTTACAAGAATGAACTAGTATACCCCTGATTAGTGATGGGACACCTAGACATAAAAAAGAATAAAACAAGTTTAGGCCCAATAACTAAGAACTTAAAAAATAAATAAGACTAACTTAAACACTAAACCAATTGAACCAACAAATACCATACATTTGAGTGTATCCTTTAACAACCAAACGGGCCTTAAATCATTCAATAGTACCATTTGAATGATACTTGATAGTGAACACCCATTTACAGCCAATCGGTTCCTTTCCCTCAAGCAAATCCACAATTTCCTAGGTATTGTTCTTATGCAAGGCATGTAATTTGGTCATCGTAGCATCCTTCCATTCTGGTTTGGATAAGGCTTCTAGGACAGATCTAGGAGTCACATGTGTGGAAACAGAGGCGAGAAAGGAATAGTAGGAAGAGGAAAGAAGGCTGTAGGACAGGTGTTTGGAAATGCAACGAGTTGTACATTTCCGTTTGCCTTTGCAAAGAGCAATAGGGAGGTCAAGGTCAAGGAAGGCTGACCTGTTACCTCAGTAGTGATGGAAGGTGCAAGAGGCTCATCTGAAGGTGTGGAAAGAACTTGAACATCCCTGAGTCTTTGTCTCTGGTACCACCTTTGGACAATAGGATGGGAAGAAA